GGGCCCGCTATGAATCCAGTAATCTATTGTGTTGTATCATTAATGTTCCATAGCCCCAAATCTGTCTCTTGGATTGCAAACTCCTTTACTGTTACAGATTTTGGTATTTCCTCTTGTAAAATATCACCAGTAGTAGCAACAAGCAATGATGGTATGCCTGCCAAAACTTTTTTTTTTTTTTTTTTTGAGATATATACAAGAGTTGTTACATTCTTGTACAGCCAATAGTACGCGTAGCGTTTCGGGCAGGTCCCTGGAATACGATCCCCTGCCGCGAAGAATCGTTTTTTCATCCAAGTACACATTTTACTGTTGCGTTAAACACAGGCTACAGTTAAGGAATTGCGCCCAGTAAATCCTCCCCGGCCAGGATACGAACCCATGACATAGCGCTCGCGGAACGCCAGGCGAGTGTCTTACCACTACACCACGGAGACTGTTTCTGCAAACTGGATGATTGGTAGCAAGAATGGATATAGATGTGGATGCTATATCTGATGGAATGGTATGAGTGGTTGTCATTGCACATGTGTTGAGCCACAATGTTAATTTTGAAAGTTTTCCTATTTTCTCTTTCTCCTCTGCAGCTCGCTTCCTATTCTGTGCTCCACTCAAAACATTACGTTTCATTTCTGCTGAAAGGATTATTCACCTGGAAATATATATCATAAATATTTAGAAATTAGTCCCACATCAGGAGGTAGGGTTATATTATATAAGTGTACTTGCAACAAGACCTAAATATTTAAACATTCTGCTCCCATAATGAACTTGTCCTATGCTTGTAGGGCCCCTATGCTCGTGAGGTGCCTGTGTAAGTGCCCATCGGGCCCATGCGGTAAGATGGCTCTGAGACAGCAGGCTTCCGAAGGGTGTCCTTTGTTGGTGGACGCTTGGTTGGTTAGGCTGGGGGTGCATCACGTTCTGTGTCCGATAGCTGCTTTACGTCGTTACCTGCGGGCCACCGGTTCTGTGTTGTGGACGCTGTTTGGGTTCATCAGGTTTTCGTGGTTCTCTGTTCTAGGGGTCGTCTTTCTCAGATTGTCATTTGACGAAATGACAAATGACAACGACATTTGAGATGAGCTCAAAGACGAAAGTGCTTGTCTTTCTCTGTCATTAAGTCTAGCCAGTCTGTGGTCTACCCTTTTGCCCATGATGTACGAAAGTACGCTTTCAGCTGTTTTGGGGAATATGTCTTGGGGGGGCCAATATTTGGGCGCTGGGGTTTTGGAGATTGAACCGGGTCCTGGCTGCCAGGTATCTCGTAAATGTCCAGGTTCCTCCGCAGCCTTGTGTGGCCTTGGGATACCTGTCGCAACCGTCTATCACTCTTCCTTGTTTTGAGACGTGTGGTGTTACATCCTTCCTGGTAAAAGTTCCTGTTTGTCTTCTCTGGGGGCAGTTAGCTCCCCCCCAGAAGACCAGCGTTGAATGTAATGAAACACCAGTTTCTGGGCGAGCCCCAGAGGCTCCCTGACACCCTCCCTCCCTCCCTTCGGTCAGTGGGTTTCATCATTCAAGAACTGGGGTAGTAGGCTGCTTGCTCACCCGGGGTAAATCCCCCATCCCATGGGGGATTTAGATAATCAGATACGCCGATTGATACAACGATTGAGGAATTCACAGAGCAGATGCACAAAATAGAGAACATACTTGACAACCTAGCAAACCCAGCTCCAGATATTATCTTTCTTGGAGATTTCAATTTACCGAGTCTAAGATGGAGAACGGCAAACACAAATATCATAGCAGGGAATGACCCGGGAAATAACCAACCACAGGTTAGAGAACTTTTGAGATTCTGTGACAAATTCTCGCTCAATCAACAGATTACAGAACCAACTAGGAACGAAAACACACTAGACTTGTTATTCACAAACAATGATGAACTAATCAGGGATATCACAATCTCAGATACTTCATACTCAGACCATAAGCTCATTGAAGTGCGAACTAGCATAAATAACGGTAGTAGGTCTAAGAGACCAAACAAGCGAGAAGGAATATTCAATTAATTCAATTTCAACAATAAGAGGATTGACTGGGAAAAAATAAATGTAGACCTTGCAACCATTCAATGGGAGACGGTCTTAAGCGACAAAACTCCCACACAGGGAATAGCTCAACTGACAGCTGAAGCTTACAAGGTCTGCTTGAAGCACGTGCCTGTGAGGAGGGGCAGAAAGAGGACCACTCTAGAAAGAGAACGGAGACGACTGTACAGGAGAAGGAAAAAAATAACGGAAATGCTTCGGCAGACACAACTATCACAAGCAAGGAAAACAAGCCTAAGCAGGGAGATTGAGGAAATAGAACAAACGTTGAAGCGATCATATGAGTCTGAGGAAATGGAATTGGAACAGAAAGCTATACAAGAGATAAGGAAAAATCCGAAATATTTTTTCACATACGCAAAATCAAAATCCAAAACCTCGACCAGTATTGGACCGTTAATTACAAATGAAGGTACGTACACAGAGGACAACAAAGAGATTAGTGAAATTCTAAGAAGCCAGTATGAGGCTATGTTTAGCACACCAATAAACAACATGAAAGTTGATGACCCAGACAGCTTCTTTATGAATGACATTCAAGCTGCAGATATATAACGGATATTACCACAAACTCGGAAGACTTTGAAAGAGAAATTGATAATATGCCTATGCACTCAGCTCCTGGGCCTGACTCATGGAATTCAATATTCATAAAGAAATGTAAAGTACCAGTAGCGAGAGCACTCAGCGTAATATGGAGAAAGAGCCTGGATACAGGGGAGATACCAGCAGCACTTAAATCTGCAGATATAGCTCCGTTGCACAAGGGGGGGAGTAAAGCCTTGGCAAAAAATTATAGGCCAGTTGCACTAACATCACACATGATAAAAGTGTTTGAAAGAGTGATTAGGAATCAAATTTCTAGTTTTATGAAAACAATGAATTGCACAATCCAGGACAACATGGATTTAGAGCGGGAAGATCCTGTCTGTTACAGTTACTCAACCACTATGACAAAATCACAGAAGCCCTAGAAGAAAAGCAAAATGCAGATGTTGTATACACAGACTTTGCAAAGGCGTTCGACAAATGTGACCATGGGGTGATAGCTTACAAAATGAGGTCAATGGGAATAACTGGAAAAGTAGGACGCTGGATACTCAATTTCCTGTCGAACAGAACACAAAGAGTAACAGTCAATCAGATAAAATCGAGTCCAAGCGATGTTAAAAGCTCTGTACCTCAAGGTACAGTCCTTGCACCGCTACTGTTCCTTATTCTCATATCTGATATAGACAAAAATACACGCCACAGCTTCGTGTCGTCCTTTGCAGATGACACAAAAATCAGCATGAAAATTACCTCTGCTGAAGACATTGAAAAACTACAAGCAGATGTCAACAAAGTTTTTGATTGGGTAGCGGAAAATAACATGATGTTTAACAGTGATAAATTTCAGGTACTCAGGTACGGCAAAAATGAGGATCTGAAACATAATACAGGGTACAAAACACAATCGAATCTTCCCATAGTAGAAAAACAGCATGTCAAGGATTTGGGAATAATGATGTCCGACGATCTAACGTTTAGGGAGCATAACCAAGCAAATATCGCGTCAGACAGAAAATTATCGGATGGATTACGAGAACTTTCAAATCCAGGGATCCCATCACAATGGTTGTACTCTTCAAGTCACTCGTGCTGTCCCGTCTCGAGTACTGCTCAGTACTCACTTCCCCTTCAGAGCAGGAGAGATTGCTGAAATAGAGGGAATACAGAGAACATATACGGCACGCATAGACAAGATAAAACACCTAAATTATTGGGATCGTCTCAAAGCTCTCCAAATGTACTCTCCAAAAAAGAGACGAGAGAGATACCAAATAATATACACGTGGAAAATACTGGAGGGACAGGTCCTTAATCTACACAGTAAAATAACAACGAACTGGAGTGAACGATGTGGAAGAAAATGCAAGATGGAACCAATGAAGAGCAGAGGTGCCATAGGCACAATCAGAGAACACTGTATAAACATTAGAGGTCCGCGGTTGTTCAACGTCCTCCCAGCAAGCATAAGAAATATTGCCGGAACAACCGTGGACATCTTCAAGAGAAAACTGGACTGTTTTCTAAGAGAAGTTCCGCATCAGCCGGGCTGTGGCGGGTACGTGGCCCTGCAGGCCGCTACAAGCAACAGCCTGGTGGAACAGACTCTCACAAGTCGAGCCTGGCCTCGGGCCGGGCTTGGGGAGTAGAAGAACTCCCAGAACCCCATCAACCAGGTATCAACTAATATATCATCACCCATGGGCGACGTATGGGTGCCCTGGTTTCTACGCAAGACATTTAAATTATACGCTGTATTACTTCATATGAAGGGATGGGTAATCTGAACCTTTTTATCTACCCCAGCTTATAATGGGATGTGCAGGTAAAGCAGGCATTAAAATATGATACAGTATTCTAAGGTGAAGTATTGGTTTATAGTTGACCAGACCACACACTAGAAGTTGAAGGGACGACGACGTTTCGGTCCGTCCTGGACCATTCTCAAGTCGAATCGACTTGAGAATGGTCCAGGACGGACCGAAACGTCATCGTCCCTTCAACTTCTAGTGTGTGGTCTGGTCAACTTACTTCAGCCACGTTATTGTGACTCATCGCCTGCATATTGGTTTATAAAACAGACATCGGTGTTAAATATACTGTTATAAATATAACGAATAAAGATTAAATAAAAAAAAATCCCACTTGAAGCATCTCTGAATTCAAAGAATTCTTTTCTCAAACAAGTCTGGTCTGGTCCCATGTATTTTGCCGAATTAAAGTTGTGTATTTACTTTTAATCTTGAAAACTTAGATGCATTAATTTATGACTAGTACTGTACTATTCATTGTATTTTTGTGTAAACTTTTTGGTCCTTTCTATTTGCATAGCTGCATTTTAAGATGCTATTTTCATAGATTCTTTCTAATGATACTTGTTTCATCCCTGGGTAGGTTGAGGAAATGTTTCCTGCTGTGGATGCTGAAGTTGTGAAATCTGTACTGGAAGCCTCACGAGGGAACAAAGAAGCTGCCATCAACTCCCTTCTCCAGATGCAAGATTCCTGAGCATTTTTTCTTCTAACAAGAATGAGCACCATTTACACACACATATATATATATATATAATGTGAAACTAATATTTTTTTTTTTAAGAACTATATTACCTCTTATTTAAGTAAAAAATTATTTCTTTCCAAATATAGATTATAACTTTGCATTTTTCATAGTTTAATCCAGGTTCATTGACAAATTTCTTGTTAAATATTTATTTGTTAATTACTTAGTAGAAAAGTGTAATGTTTAAAAAGGCACACTTAGTTGTATTAATGTTTGTGTATGGGTTTGTTACGATTAACCATTATTTGGTTATGTTGGTGGTGGTCGTGGTGCAGTGAACATCTCTGCTGACACCAAGTAATAAGTTAGCTGCAATATGTTGGTGGTGGTCGTGGTGCAGTGAACATCTCTGCTGACACCAAGTAATAAGTTAGCTGCAATATGTTGGTGGTGGTCGTGGTGCAGTGAACATCTCCGCTGACACCAAGTAATAAGTTAGCTGCAATATGTTGGTGGTGGTCGTGGTGCAGTGAACATCTCTGCTGACACCAAGTAATAAGTTAGCTGCAATATGTTGGTGGTGGTCGTGGTGCAGTGAACATCTCTGCTGACACGAAGTAATAAGTTAGGTGCAATATATTTGATCATGTTAGCACTGTATAACTCTTGTATTGAGGGCAGATTTTTTATTTTGTTCCTTATTTGTATCTGAAAATATTAAAGTATTTATCTCAAAAGAACATACTCCTTGTGCTGAATTTGAATATGACCTGATATACTATATACTGTATAAGAAAGGTTTTGGACAATTATGAGAGAATACCTGAATTACAGAATATTACGTGTGATATAATGTGCTTCAAATTTTGGGTGCTGATATACTTTCATCAGAGGTTAACATTTTAATGTGAGATGTCCTGTCATTCACTATCCCTGTAGATAGTGAATGACGGCCGAGCGGACAGCACGCGGGACTTGTGATCCTGTGGTCCTGGGTTCGATCCCAGGTGCCGGCGAGAAACAATGGGCAGAGTTTCTTTCACCCTATGCCCCTGTTTACCTAGCAGTAAAATAGGTACCTGGGTGTTGTCCAGCCTTCAGCTGTCACGGGCTGCTTCCTGGGGGTGGAGGCCTGGTCGAGGACCGGGCCACGGGGACACTAAAAGCCCTGAAATCATCTCAAGATAACCTCAAGATAGATGTGTTTATATTCAAGGTACAGTGCAACCTCGATTTGGCGAATCTCCAGTTAAGACGCTTACTTTTCAGGCTGGATTTTTTTCACCCGATTCGACGAACCAGGTGGTGTACTGCTTTGCTTAGGATGTTGGGTCAGTTCACAGACTGGTGGAAATATTTCCCCATCATGTCACTGGATAAAGTGTTAAATTCCTTTCATATGACAGATTGAAATGAAAATTTTCCTCATTGAAATCTCCCTCCCACTCTCATTGCTTCTCCCTCCCTCTCTCCTTCCCTCCCTCACTCCCTCCCTCCCTCCCTCACTGCCTCCCTCCCTCACTGCCTCCCTCCCTCTCTGCCTCCCTCCCTCTCGCCTCCTCCCTCCCTCTCCCGCCCTCCCTCCCTCCTCTCTGCTTCCCTCCCTCCCTCCCTGCCGCACTGCCGCCACCTGCCGCCCTCCTACCTCGCCTGCCTCCCTCCCTCCCTCACCGCCGCCCTCCCTACCTCACTCATCACCTTACTGCCTCCCTCTCAGCATGAGAGCTGCATGCCATGTGAGGGAGGAAGCCACGTGTGCACTACCACCACCCAGTGCGGGAGGGAGGGGGAGAGGCGGTGACCACCCGCCTGATGGCTGTTCTGGAAAGTTTCAATTTAATACAATAAATCATTCATGATATAAGTATTTGTACAACTTTTTATTATCTTAATAATATTACTAAACAAAATATACAACTAAAAATATATATGATGATGTACATGAAGAATTTAAGAACAAAATTCTGGCTAACGGGTCATTGGCGTATCTGAGGGAGCTCGTCCCTCCCCAGCCACCGAGACCCCTCCCCCCATCCCCTAGATCCCACACAGTTTGTTTGCTGGTGGTTGCAAATACCAACTGTGCATAATTCATAAATAAAACTGTTTGATTAATAATTAGGAAGCAATATGTTGTTGTTGTTAAAGATTCGCTACCTGGAACAAAAAGTTCCAAGTAGCACGGGCTATGGTGAGCCCATATATTGCTCCCTGTGCAATAAAACATGGTAATGATTAAGCAAACACTTTGATGATGTTATTCAATTCTAATATCCTAATTCAAACTATTGGCAACAAATTCACCTTTCTTATTCCAAACACTGATGTTTCTGAATATAAGTCTTAACCTAAAAAATCTAATACTAACGAACAAAATTAACAGAAACCAAATAATAATATCACGGCTTTTAATAATGTGTAATAATACTGTATACTAAACATGAAAATTAGCATATCTTTGCCTAAATATTGTACAGCTAAGATTAAAATTTTTAAAATGGCCAGAGGGTTTGGCAACTTGGTGCTTGATCAGCGACTCCTCACTCTCTCCCACCATCACCGCCTCCCTTCCTCACTACCTCTCTCCCTCACTTCCTCTTTCCCTCCCTCTCTCACTGCCTCCCCTCCCTCCCTCGCTGCCTCTCTCCCTCGATGCCTTTATTTCTGCCTCACTACCTCTCTCTCTTCGTCACTGCCCCTCTCTCCCTTCCTCCCTGCCTCTATCCCTCCCTCACTACCTCTCTCCCTCCTCTCCCTCACTACTCTCTCCCTCCTCACCACCTCTCTCCCTCCTCTCCTCCATCCTCTCCCTTAGCGCTTCCCCTCCCTCCCTCACCACCTCTCTCCCTCCCTCCCCTCTCACCCTACCTCCCTCCCTCTCTCCCTCCCTCCCTCCCCTCTCTCCCTACCCTCCCTCCCTCTCTCCCTTCCTCCTCTCTCTCCCTCTCTCCCTACCCCCTCTCTCTCTCCTACCCTCTCTCCCCCTCCCTCTCTCTCCCCTCCCTCTCCCTCCCTCTCTCTCTCCCCTCTCCCCCTCTCCCCCTCCCTCCTCTCCTCCCTCCCTCCCTCCCTCCCTCCCTCCCTCCCTCCCTCCCTCCCTCTCGCCTCCTCTCTCCCTCTCTCTCCTCTCTCCTCTCTCCCTCCCTCGCCTCCTCTCTCTCGCTCCCTCTGCCTCCTCTCTCCCTCCCTCCCTCCCTCCCCTCCCTCACCTCCCTCTCTCTCTCCCTCTCCCTCACTCGCTCTGCCTCTCCCTCACTCAGGTTGGAATCCAGCATGGTGGGATTAGCATTATTTGTTTACATCCCCTGTTACCTACCTAGTTATTGACACATTCTTTGTAACCTTCACACACAAGGTGTTTATAATTACAAATGGCACCTCAAAAGAATTCAAGTAAAATACTGCATACAGTATACTATATACAGTATGCCTTTTCTAAGGTATATGAAGATACAGTATGATTCAGTACTGTGCAGTTTAGTAGTACTGTATATAATAATGAATTATTCTTGATTTGTGGGGGGTTGGGAGCCCCATCAGCTCCCCAGAGCTATCCAGGCTGATATGGATATATTAGATTTCTAGCACCAGTCAATGTGTATGGAGTTCTAGGCCTACCGGGGAACACAAGCCAGAACCTGGCTCCCTTAGAGAGGCACTAGGAGCAGTGGCCTATAGAAACCCCCGTGTGGTTGGAAGCATTCTGTATCTGCTATTGACTGGGTCAGGCACCAAGAAAGGTAAACGGGGAGCCGGTCGGCCGAGCGGACAGCACACTGAACTTGTGGTCCCAGGTTCGATCCCGGCGAGAAACAATGGGCAGAGTTTCTTTCACCCTATGCCCCTGTTACCTAGCAGTAAAATAGGTACCTGGGTGTTAGTCAGCTGTCACGGGCTGCTTCCTGGGGGTGGAGGCCTGGTCGAGGACCGGGCCGCGGGGACACTAAAGAGCCCCGAAATCATCTCAAGATAACCTCAAGATAACCGCCTCAAAATAAACCCCAATTCTGGTGAAAACTGGGCTCAAAAGAGCCGAACAAGTGGACAGAATTCTCCAAGTGAAAACAGGCAAACTAGCTTAATGTCACCACGTTGCCGCGTCACTGTCTGCTCTTCCCCTCCCTCCCTAGGAGGTGGGAAGGGGGAGCCCTAAACCTTCACACCAGCTACCTATCTTGAGGTTATCTTGAGATGATTTCGGGGCTCTTTAGTGTCCCCGCGGCCCGGTCCTCGACCAGGCCTCCACCCCCAGGAAGCAGCCCGTGACAGCTGACTAACTCCCAGGTACCTATTTACTGCTAGGTAACAGGGGCATTCAGGGTGAAAGAAACTTTGCCCATTTGTTTCTGCCTCGTGCGGGAATCGAACCCGCGCCACAGAATTACGAGTCCTGCGCGCTATCCACCAGGCTACCAGGCCCCCTGCTACCTACCCTTCAGTTCTTGGCTGATGTGACACTGGGAAGGTCGTGTGCCTCTGGCTGCAACAAATTGTTTTAGTTCTGTGCCTTGTGGTGTGGTACTGTCTCTATGGACAGTACCGGCACTATACTGTCAGTACCTGACAGTATACTGTCTCTATCTCTAGGGAGCCATCTCTATCTCTGTCTCACCTAACACCCCGTAACTCTGATGCTCTTATTGGTCGCCCGGACGGTATCACAGTGAACCCCTGGAAGAATGGCAAGCAGTTGGTATGGGACTACACGTGCGTATCATCCCTGGCTAAACACCTACATTGATCTTAGTGTTGCACAACCAGGTGGCGCTGCCACTCACAGAGAAGCAGCTAAATCCCGTAAGTACAGAGAACTGGATCACCACTACAATTTTGTCCCCATTGCTTCTGAGACACTCGGCGCCTGGGGTAACTGGTTCTAGGCTCATTGAAACAACAAGGGACCCTAGAGCTGCCAGCTTTCTTTTCCAGCGCCTCAGCATGGCGATACAGAGGGGAAATGCACACTGCATTCAGGGTTCCTGCCCGCCATCTGAGGAGCTGGAGGAACTCGACAACCTATGATAACCATCTTTGTACCCTATATGTAACTCCTTTTTTGTAACAAAGTTCAAATAAAACAAATATATATGTGTACATACAAAAGAATGGGGGTGGTAGGAGAAGATAATATTAGTGTTCAGTGAGAAACCACAAGGTCTCCTCTGAATACTTTTTATTTTCTTCTCCGAGGCTATGGGTCCCCACATTGGCACCAGAGGTGGTACCCTCACAAACTTTTATATATATATATATATATATATATATATATATATATATATATATATATATATATATATATATATATATATATATATATATATATATATATATAATATATATATATATATATATATGTCGTACCTAGTAGCCAGAACGCACTTCTCAGCCTACTATTCAAGGCCCGATTTGCCTAATAAGCCAAGTTTTCATGAATTAATGTTTTTTCGTCTACCTAACCTACCTAACCTAACCTAACCTAGCTTTTTTTGGCTACCTAAGCTAACCTTACCTATAAATATAGGTTAGGTTAGGTTAGGTAGGGTTGGTTAGGTTCGGTCATATATCTACGTTAATTTTAACTCCAAGAAAAAAAAAATGACCTCATACATAGAGAAAAGGGTTGCTTTATCATTTCATAAGAAAAAAATTATAGTAAATATATTAATTCAGGAAAACTTGGCTTATTAGGCAAATCGGGCCTTGAATAGTAGGCTGAGAAGTGAGTTCTGGCTACTAGGTA